TTTTGTTTTTGTTTTTTGTGTGTGTGTGTGTGTGTGTGTGTGTGTGTGTGTGTGTGTGTGTGTGCATTTCCCCACACAAATTAGTGTCGAACGTATTACAGTCCATGAATTGTACATTTTAGAATAATATAGACATATTGGATTACCGCTAATTTACCCAAGACAAATGAGTGTTGAAACTATAGCAGCCTAAACAAGGACATGAGCGTATACGCGATGGTATAAGAGTTTTTGTATGAATTATGGCTCTTGTTTAAAAGGAAACTATCCACAACTGTAAATACAGTACTAAGAATCGCTCTGCAATCCTCTATTAAAAGGGTCAGATTACACATGTATGCTGTTTAACGTTTAATTCCCTGTCAGTCAGGCAGGCATAATTAATCACACAGTCAGGTGAAAATAAAGTTATTTTATTGTCAAAGCATTCAACATGATTAGATAAACTATCAAATAGTAAATTTCAGCAAAAGGAAGAAACACTGAATCTATTTCTCACAGACACAAAATATTACACTTTGTATTCAAACAAAACAAGTATTTACATTGTTTTGAATAGACTGCATCTTATACCAATAACTATAATTTACATGCACTCTTAAATACACTTCAACATCATGTTCCCAATGTTTAGTATCCTTATGCATATAGACATAACGTCACTGAATAACTCTCAATGAAATGATCTGCATCTTAATTGATTTATATACATTATACATTAATATATACAAAATCCAAGGTACACTTACATTGTTATTGTCCCCTTTTTTCAAATAATAAGTGCTTCATATAATAAATATATTTTAGGTTTTTAAGTCAAAATGCATCTTCATACACAAAACATGACATTTGAAGAAATCAAACCATTTAACCATTACAAACATTACCAGTAATGTCTTTTGAAAATGAGAGCAAATGGGTTGGCATTACTCGTCCAGATTAACCTTATTCCCTTTTGATTAAAAAAAATGCAAGAAAAAAGAAAGGAGGAAGGAAAGAAAGAAAAACAAATAAATCCTCAAAAATTCAGTTGTGAGAGGTCATGTGCCGGGAAAGGTGGTGCCGCTCCCTGAAAGTCTCATTACAGATTGGACACTTTAACTTTTCTTCTCTCCTTCTTTTAACAAGAGGTTCCATGGCATACTCCTTTTTGTGGTGCGAGCGCATGTGGTAGACCAGGTCAGAGGTCATGCGGAAGGAGGCGTTGCATTTGGCACACCAGTTCTGAGCAGGCAGACAAAGTGAAGTAAACGAAGGGGGCAGAAGAGTGAGAGCAGAGGGCATTTGCAGCTGGATGGGGCCTGAGGTCTTGGGCCAGTAGGCTGTGGCGTATAGGAAAGGGTTCTGTTTTGCAATGCCACCCGGCACAGGACAGTTGCTGCCTAGTTCTGAGCCTTGGAGCTTTGCGGCGAGGTGGTCTGCCTGGTAGAGTCTATTGGAAGAGACGGTGTCGCCCACCGCAGGATGGCAGTCTACTGCCGGCAGAAGCTTGGGTGCCATGACAAGAGATGATAGCTGCGAGAAGGTGCGAGACGGCTGGCTAAAGGCACTCTTTCTCTCTGAGCCTACACCACCCTGCTGGGGCACCGAAGTGAAAGCGCTGCCAATTGACGAGGTCTCCATTCGGGACTGCGGGGGCTGAGTCTCGCTGAGAACCTGTCTGATGTTGAGGTGCTTTTCAGCCGGGTTGCTGCTGGACCGGCCAGCCTCCTTGTTCTCCGAGTTGGAGCTGGAGTTTTTACCGCTGTGCTTCAAGCTCTGAGGTGACTTCTTGACCTCTGTGAAGGCACTCCTCTTGGTTTCCGTCGACTCTGAAACAGAGGGCGAGAAAGCCCGCCTGCTCTCATCCAGACCGTATGCTCCACGGTACTGCTGCGCCGAGTTGGCCAACTCCTCTTTGGACTTGGGAGGCTGATATAATCCACTGTTCCTGCTGTCCTCCATGTCAGAAAACTTGCGCTTTCCAGAGTTCTCACTCAGGATTTCGGCCTCTTTGTCGCTTGGCAGACTGGTTCTGTTATTCTCCAAATCCCTGGCTAGATTATGGAAGTCTGTGGATGGCTTTCCTTCCTGTGGATTGGAGAAGCCATCAGATCGGCCCAGTTTGGGACTGGACCTGGCAGGAGGTAGACTAGCCTGGTCACTGGCATCAGTGGCCTCCTCCTCTGGGCTAGCCATGCTTTGTAGTCTCTTAGTACAGCGGAATCTTAGATGAGCCAAAAAGGGAAACTCAAACTGGAAACGCTGGCTACAGTCTGGGCACAAAAAGGGTGATGTTCCTGCAAGACATAATTGGTGAGGGGAAGAGAAAAGAAAAGATACATTTTTAGAAAAAATGTCCTTCAACAGGTACATAATGATATGATCATTTGTAATTTTATTCAAACATAATTAAAAAAAAAAATGTCTGTCAAATATTACTTTACATCTATAAATTACTGACTGTACACATTTTTTTTCATGTGTATACTTTTTTTTTTTAAATCTTTGATAAATCTATATTATGCAAACACATCAAACTATATTTACTGAGTATTTAAACACAAACAACTGCTATTTTATTTAATTAAAAAATGTAAAATATTCTATCACTGTTGATCTTCAAAGTGTACCTTTACTTTTGGCTTGATTTCTGCCGGAGCTCAGGAGCAGCATCTCAATGAGATCCTTGCCATACCACACCAGCAGCTCTTCATCTTTCTCTATTCTCCTCAGTGACCTGTAGAAAAGCTGGCCGTTCTTCACATAGGCCTCTAGGTTCTGTTCATCTCTGTCTCTCGCTGACTGAACCAGCCTCAGCCACATCAGGCCTTCTGAGGAACTGTTGGCAGCTGACGTGTCCACCTGTATCCAGCACCAGTAAAGCGGTCAGAACATCTACTTTAAACATTTATCTGAAACCTTAGAGCCGTCAGCAACTAAGTATCAGTAATTAATTTCAAAGAATACAATTCCTCTACCACAGTTTAACATTTTTGTAAAAGTGAAAAGAAAAAAAAGAAAAAAACCTCCAGTTAGCAAACCTAGGCCTATATGTTTGAAATAAAAACAAATTTCAAACACTCGACTTGTTGGAAATGAAATAAAGCGTGACCATACCCTGAAGATGTAAGGCGCCGTTCGTTTGTCTGTGGACTTGAGAGCGATAAAGGCGATGCTGTCATACAGTGAAGTGTGACTCAGAACACATGGGCCAAAAATGGCATTTTCCGGAATGTCACAGGTGGTGTAAACGCTGGTAAATATATCCGTTAAACACTGCTGCATCGCTTTCGCGTCGCCATCCCAGCCCAGTCTCTGCGTACTGGATTCCTCCATCATTTGCTGTAAAAAAAAAAACTAAATCACTATTTCTCAATTATAAAAAGTATGTAAATATTTTTTCCCAGTTCTGATTTGGAGTTCTAAGTGAATCTACTGCACAAACCATTTAATACAATCTTCATGTACGGAGTCTTACTTTACATTTAGGCCCGTGCCATTGATTTTTTTAAAGCTATTTCTATTCGATTGATAAATTAGGCCTATATATTGTTGCCATTTTATAGTAGCCTATTATTATTTTGGATACTTTATGCTATTTAAGCTATGATCTATATTATAAAATGTAAACATGTAGAATTAAATGTTTTTATGAATTCTGTAAACAAGGAGAGAAAGTAATCGAAGAACAGAAGGTTATTTCTTACAACGCATTAATTCGATTTCAAAGCGTGTCTGTGACAGTATTAGCTAGTAACTCTCAATGCGTATTTTCAGATTTATCTTCCACTTGTTGGAAATATTTTACATGCCTTTGACAGCGATGAAAATCTGGCTTTATGCGACCGTTCGGTCTATTTTACAACGGGGACCATATCGAATGGATTCAATAGCACTGTCAAAGTCACTGATTTCACGTCAGCTAACCTTTAGCTCCATTCTACAAGAAGGAACGTATGTCTCCTTATTACCATAATCCACCACTTTCCTTCTGAGACTTTAATTAAGGCAGCACGCGCAGTTAATTATTTTTTTCTTCTCCAAACCCCGAATGCACATTTACAAATGAGCTGAATCTCTCGTATAGCTATTTTGTTACGCGTGAATTGGAGTTTACTCGTGTAACTTGTTAAACACAAGAACGTTTTTAGTAGCATTTAAAAACAGTGGGGACATATTTCATATATTCCATATTGTTCATGTCTGTTTTTAATCGTTTTATTATAGTTTTATCAGACACTAACAGTGGTATGGCTGGGACATATTGCTGGGATTTCACATGATTTCTCAGCTTTTTGATGAGGTCAAAAATAAAAATCCTGTGAAAATTATTTCTATATAACGACAAGAGTGGAGGGAAATGTTGTTACTGCAGATAGTTGTATATGTTAAGGTAAAACGCAGCTCGAATTGTGTTCGATTTTGCAAGAGACGTTTATTAAAAGCATAGGCTATTACATTTACAAATTCGTTTACAGTTTTTCAACAGACTGCGGTATAAACCAGACCGGTTTATTTTTTATTTCAGGCTACTTCGTATTTATTGCTCGAATAAAGTATAAGACACTGATGCACCTAATACAAAATAGGCTGAAATTGTGAAAACATGAAAAAATATTTTTCTGCAAAGCATTTAAATGACTATTTATTTATTATGAGGATGCTAGGCTATTTCAAATGGACACGTCCGGCTTTCGATTGTAGGCTATTATCAAGACACAAATGCTTAAAGTTCCCTTCATCCATAAAAAGACTTGGTGTGAATTTTGCCCTTAATCCTTTCACGATCCTCTCCTTTTGTAGCTGTGAGGTCGCAGTCTCACTCCTGAGAATCACACAAAGGACCCAATGAATATGCATTCCAACTAAATACTATAATAGACCCATGAATAAATGCGCATTTCTAAAATAGAGGAGACGAACCCATTGACCTCCTGCTTCAGGCTAAAATTTATTGCGCTTTTTATTTTATCTACGGTCTTGTTGTTATTCCAACTTTATGACTTTATGATGTGTAGCCAGTTTCCCTGATTCAATGACTCTCGTCTACCATCTGCGAGCTTTGCATGTTGCGAGGATGCTGTTTGGGCATTGCATACAGCCCCATGTGTTACTAGCCTCCGGCTGATTTTATTGCAAAATTGTCATTACTCACCATGGTACTAGGATAAAATAATCCACAAAATGTCACAATTGCCGTCAGTATCTTCAAGTATGTGTTCAGCGGCTCCGATGAAGTCCATGCAGTCAGTACATTTCCCCGTCTGTTGAAAGTGACAGTGTTGCCGACCGTCTTATGATTCGCGAGCGCAGAGAGGCGTGCAGATGGTGCCGATACACTGACTGAGTGGCACCCACATACACACTTTTTGTTTGCAGCACATAATCTGCCCAATGAGGCGTGACACGCTTCGTCTCCTCCCTTTAACTCCTCGGTCGCCGACAGTTAGCTAGTAGATGCAGGGTGTCTATGCTGAAACACTGGAACGTGCACTGCAGTCAATAAAACAAATGCAAATTGGCAGAATATTTCATTATTCGGGTATATTTTAAAACAAAGAACTTTCACTTATTTTGGGGTTTTTCATTTCAATTCATTTTAATGTTGTAATAATATTCAAAAGATGATGCCTATGCTATTTTTGATTGTATTCTGCACAGTGTTGTTACATTTATGGTCAAAAACTGCACGTTGTGGTTGCAGACCTTTACTGTAAAAAAACAGGGGCGATGTTGCATGCATTACGGGATGACAGTATATTTTACAGTTCATAACTATATTATATCAACCTATGTGGGCTATCTTTTTGTTACTGTTAGCCTACATGTACTGATAATAACACAGGTGAGGTGGCACAATGGAAGGTCACATGGTGACTTCTACTGTGGCCAATAATAACAAAGACAGAGCCCAGTATTACCCACACAAACACGTGACACGTGAGTAGTAAACATCAACTAAACAACATACAATGCAAAAAAAAAAGACACTTAAACTCCAGTAATTTTTAAAATAAAATCCAAACAAATGTGATGGTTTGAGCAGTGAATTTTGGGAATGCCCCTTCCAGTTAATAATAAGGCTCAACATTTTAACAGTGTGTTACTATAAAAATATTTGTTTCGTTTTGATAAATACAACTTGTCTCCATATATTATACAGTAAAATAGAATACAATTGTATTTTACAGTAAAATTACATGTACTGTCTTTTAAAATACATTAACATGCATTATTGTATTTTAAAACATAAGGCAACTAACCAATTAAAAGAGATAATTTTTTCACTCTTTTTCTTTTCAAATAACTTTAAAAATAATTTGTAATAATTTTGTTTGTTCATGACTGCTTTTGAGACCTGTATATTTTATTAACGTGCCAATAAATAAATGGGCAACAAAAAGTTTCTCCATGTGACACTGAATTACTGTTCATTAAAGTAGGTTATCTGTGTCCCTCAGCTTCCTCAAAATCACGGACGATTCCTGTCTTCGCGTGGACTTTTGATTGTAGCCTACAGACAACGTGTCGCCACTTGCAGCATGTTCCGCTCTAAATTATGTCGTTGCATTATAACTATCATTACTTTTTCTCTCAGTGCTGGTTCGCCAACTGACAATTAGCAAATTGCTCTATTGATACTTCTCGGCATCTAGGGCGCTCTTTCGCTTTGCTGCAGCCTGAGATACGGCCCATGAGCTCGGAGGCTTGTCGCGTGCACACCTGCTGTGGCGCTCCATCTCTAGAGGAGAGAAGCACGAGAGCCCGCGTGCTCAACCTGACCTCAGCACGACTGGATTGTGATGTCTGTATTAACATCTGTGGGAGACAGCAGTGAGTATTCAGCCAGCCAAGTGCACACACCAGAGCTTCCTTAAACATATTGCGCCGGTATATAGGCTACGCTACAGACCCGCTGTGTTTTAACCGATATGGCGAAATGTTTTAAATATTAATCGGTCTGAAGATTTGATAAGCTCCACAAATCAATAAATTTCTCTGTGGGGTCTGTTGGGTAGGATCACAGGGGCACGGTCGTACTTAGTTCTTTTGGATGTCATCCAACTCATAACCTTGATCGAGAGAATTAGCCTAATAAACTGTCATAATAGATAAGAGAGATTTAGATACCTTCTGCTGACTTATTCATCTTTCTTGTGGCTTGTAACCTCTTATCAGAAGATAAATGTTGTGTTGCTGCCATATAAAGACCGTTTTGAAGGTTTTTGCAAAAGAAATGAAAATTGTAAAGGTAATAAAGTGCATTTATTAATAATGAAATTAATAAATAAATAAAATATTTTAGTTTGTAAATGGGTTAGGGGAAGGTAAGCTGGTCAGGTGCATGGAAGAATCAAGAAAAAAATACATATTATTATTATAGTCTACTGTAAGATTTGGGCTATGATTCCTTGAGCACAAGTGGGTGATTGTGGTTACTTTAGTGCAAATGTAAAATGACATCGTCAAGAATGTCAAAATGAAAAAAAAGAAACTATAAATGTAGTACAAAAACGGTTTCTTCTTCAGCAATGCTGCATATAGTCTTCTTGTTGAGGACAACATCAACAATCCTCTTTTGTTGTATATGGCAAGGCATTAAAGACAATCTGTATAATGCACTTTAAATCATCTCAATGCATTTCTAATGAATCAGTATTAGCACTGAACACAGTTTCTCTAACTGAAGAGGTCTCTCTGGTGTTCAGGGCCATCAACTAGACAGATATTTTGCAAAATATCAACGTTATCTTCTATCACAAGTATTATCTTCCATTATGATAATATGTAATTCACAGTGATTTTATACATTTAATTTAGCCTTTCTTAAAAGAGAGGACTAAATTGAAATAAAATGTTCTGCTTACACCATTCGTTTCCATAGATCTTCATGGAAAATTACAAAATAGTAACTGAAATATCAATGGTGCATTAGGTGTAACTAATTCAGATATTCTTTTTGCTGTGCACAAAGTTTTTTTAAGATGTTTTTTTTCCCATATAATCACTTTTTTTATATGTTTTGCATTAATGATAAAATATTAAATGCAATTTACATTATGCAATTCAAATTATGGTACCTTTCCCATACAGTAATTTGAATGCTGAGCATGATGAGGACTCTTTTTCCCATACAGTGTTCTGAAAGCTTGCTCAATCAGTAGCCATCTGCTTAGCTCATGGACTGCAGGTTCATGGCTGGCAGAGGCTGTTCGGCAGACAGAATTAATCTCCCCTCCTCCTCCTTTATTGTACCACGGCTCATGATGGTCAGTTGTGACTGCCAAAAACACAGCGAGGGCTGTGCAGAGAGAGCGAGAGGAAGAGGGGGGGGGGGGGGGGGGGAGCTTCATTGCCTCAGACAAGTGCACTGATGTCCTTCTGCAACTCCCACAGCACAATCAAGAGTGAGTTAGTGAGTGCTGGAGGAGAGAAGATTTGGGCAAGAGGAGAAACTGGTGCTAAGGATTCATCTTTCACTCACCCTCACTTTCCCTGCACAACGTTTCGAACTTTCAGCCTTTGTGTTCATTCAACTTTGCTGGGGAAACATTGCTTTGGTATTCAAAGCATGACATTTATTATAGTATATAGTCCCTCACTCTCATCAAAACCCATTTGAATGAGATGGCAAAACTGTATGATATTGTACGATGGACTCATACGAAAAGGTATGACTTTTGTAGGTTTTCAGACCATTTCACCGTTTCATTATGGCTTCTTTTATAGAGAAATAATGCAGTTTTGCTTGCAGGTACAGACATTTCTGGATTGTAGTAATTAAAAGTAGGGATTCACTGATATTTAAATATTATCTGATATTGATAAGCCAATATTAATTTTTTTATAGCCGATTATTGATAAATGGCAGACATTCAAATTTTGTACTATTTTGTCAAAATAGAAAATAAAAACACAAAACTTAAATGCTACAAGTGAATTTATGCATAACAACATTTATATTGCACAGTATAAGAAATGGACATTTATTTTGAGATCTGAAGATTACATTTAACTGTTATTAAAATTATTTGCATTTTTTAAGATTACGTGACTTGAGTGACTGTTAAACTGATGATAAAGGAAAATAAATATAAAGAAATGTAAATATCAAAATATGGGAAATGAGCATGCACAATCAAACATACATTTTTGGCCACTGGATATTGGATATTGACTGTTATTTTGAATAATTTGAATATCAATATTTGTAATATTCATATTTTTTGCAAGTATACCCTTTTAAAAAAAATGAAAAAAGTTAAAGGTCAAGAAGTTCATTTTCTATAATCCCTCTAAATGTATTGGTGCCCACGTTGAAATCATCTGCACTGTGGCACCCGGTTCAAGCCTCTATCTCTCCACTCCAGAATTCTGGAGATTTGGACATTCTGTTTGTAATCGATGATACCTGTTCATATAGTGCAAGACAGTGCGTCCAGCTCTGGCTCTGACTGCAGGCCCAGTCGTCCAGGCTTCAGATCCTCCCTCGCAGCCAAGCTGCCAGACTAGCTCAGGGTTCACGGCTGAGCTGAGCCACCATGGCAAGTTTTAATGTTCCAGGTTTTGGGCGGCCCCAGGGCATATGCTCACCCTCCCTTCGCTAAGAGGAAAGCTCACGTCTGGCAGTGAAGGCCTGGGCCTGGCCCAAGCAGTCCTTCAGACTCTCTTACGCAGGCCTTTCCCATGCCACTCCATCCACGGACAGGATCACAGAGTTAAATGTTATATTAGGGGTGTCAAACTCAGGGCCAGAGCCCTGCAGAGTTTAGATTCAACCCTAATTAAACACCTGAACCAAAACTATGGAATGTGTGTTCGAGCAGGGTTGGAACAAAACTCTGCAGGGCACCGGCCCTCCAGGAATTGCACATTACAGCCCTGTTTTATGTAGTACACCATGTACTATAAGTCTTGACTGTAATTTGTTATTTCACATATAGTATGCTCTTGATATTTGATTAGCATATTGTACAACAGTTAGTTCTGGTTTTGATTGGCTGAGGTCCGTGTTCCAAGAGTGCTGATACAGTTCAACAACACGATTATAAAAAAAAAAGTAACATCTACTCACCTCTGTGAAGGTGAACTCCATCCTATGTGTGTCCTATGTCATATGGTTGTTTTAGTCTAATTTTAAATTTCATTTGGCTACCTTCCCTTGTGCCTTTTTCGGCCTCATTTTGATGGCGTTTATTTGAATATGCATTCTGATTGGTTGTTTAGTAATAATAAGGCCTTTATGCTGAAACAAAGAAAATGAAAGTAAAGAAAGAAAAAATAGGCATGTATACTACTGGTCAAAAATTTGGAATAATTAATATTTTAATGAGAGAAGTACATTTACTTAAAGAAAATTACAGTGAAAACAGTAATATTGTGAAATTATGAATTTAAATATCTGTTTATATTTATAGCCATATATATATATATATATATATATATATAAAGTAATTTATTCCTGTGATGTCAAAGCTGAATTGTCAGCAGCCATTACAGTGTCACATGATTCTACAGAACCATTATCATTTTTGTGGAAACTTTCTATCATCCTCATGTTCATCCTTTCTATTCAATCCTGAAGAAAAAATGTAATTCACGGTTAATACAAACTCTTCTCAACATTGATAATAATAAGAACCATTATTAATAATTGAGCACCAATAATAATTGATAATAAGTGAGCTCCAAATCCACATTAGAGTGATTTCTGAAGGATCATTGCTGTTGAAATATCAGCTTTGCCACCACAGGAATAAAATTGTATTTAATATATATTAAAACATAAAACATTTCATTTAAATTGTAATAACATTTCACAATATTTATGTTAATGTATTTGCATATAATGACTTCCAAATAACTGCAGCCTTGGTGAACATAAGAGACTTCATTTAAAACATTTTAATCATTCCAAACTTTTTTTGACCAGTATATATTGCATTATATGCATCTAGGTTATGCACAAAAGTTTACTTTATCAGCTTTACATTCCTGTAGGTTACAGACCACTACTGTTGTTATTGAACCTTTGTATAGCCTAACAACAATATTGCGGCCTTATGTCTCACATGGGACGAAGAGGATTAGGTAAGTAGTATAACATCAATATTACATATTGAAAACAGCACTCTAGCTCATGTCGTATTGCTTATTTGTTATATGATTTTGAACTGTTTGCCTGTTTTCCTATGAGCTTACTAAAGGCTGAATGCAGCTGTTGTTCTCCATAAAATAAACTCTGCCATGATAACAGCAGGACACTCAGGGGTATTGACATTTGATGTTGTTGTTTCAGTTGTGTGTGTGTGTGTGTGTGTGCGTGTGTGTTTTAGAAGGTGTGTTTGATGTTGCAGAAGAGGGGTGAGATGGTAAGTTGATGGCAAATGCCTTGAGGAGAAGCTGTCAGCACAGCCGGTTACCTCTAAAACCCGGGTGGCCTGAGCCAACCGTGGCAGAGTGAATCAAAGACAGCCAGCAAACCCACGGAACGGTGAGACTCTGAGGGCTGGCCCCCAGATTACCAGTGTTTTTGAGGGAGTTTTATGGCACAGAGGCAGTGTTCTGTATTGCTGATTCTCAGCTCTGGGAGTAGATAGTGGCACTCAGGAAAAAAAGTTCATCAAAGTTTAAACTGGCAAAATAACAATGAGCAGAGGATATGTGAGGGGTCTATATATATCACAGCTGCGCCCACACCTCCATCAAAATCACAGAATATTTTGCACATTGGTAAAACCTAAAATGTATTCATAAGTGCAAAAAAAAAATCTAAAAAAATCTAATAATCTTTTTTATAAATAGTTCAGATTTGAATCCAGAGAATATGTACCAGCTAGAATCAATGGCAGACCCATCCTCCCAACCTCTAACAATTCTTCCCATTATTTTAGCCTGAAGGAAGAAGCTTGATTTAAGAATGAAACACAGTCCTGCCACACTCCTCGAGCTGTAACTGACTGCAGTGTTTGTCAATGATTGGTTCTGAGCTTTATCAAAGTTCTACTGAAGCGTGGCTTCCAATCCACCGTCCATGAGAGAGCGGAAGAGAGTGTGGTGCTTTATATTAGGTTAATTTGCACTGAGACCGTGCAGCTCAATGTCCAGCTAAATATTGCAGAGATTGGCCTGAGCTTACTGGTATCATAAGTGATATCTTTATATCACTGAAATATCTTTTCATGTGACAACATTGAAGAAATTACACTTTGCTACAAGTGGTCTCCCATGGTTTTAAAATCGGTTATGATTTGAAAATCGTCTAGTGTGCAGCACCTGACGTTCGCCACATATTTTACCATGATTTGTTGTTTCAACTTAAAAAAGTAAGTGTTCGTGCTGCCTTAAAATTTTAAGTTTTGTGAACTTAAATTGTGAAGTCTTAACTGAAGATAAAGTTTACAGGACTTTATAAATCAAGTGCAATAAACAATTTACGTTTTGTGAACTTAAATTGTGAAGTTGTCTTAACCGAGGATAAAGTTGACAGGACTTTATAAATCAAGTGCAATAAACAATTTAAGTTTAATCATTTGAATTTTATTTTTCCACTAAAACAAGTTCAGTTCATTAACAAGGATACTGTATGAAGCATACATTGTTTTCCACTAAAACAAGTTCAGTTCATTAACAAGGATACTGTATTAAGCATACAGTGATGTACTGCATAAACAATAATACTGCATAAAATACAGAGTAATGCACTGCATGAACAACGATAAAGTAGGCTACTGTATCAAGCATACATTGATGTACAGCATAAACAATAACACTGCATAAAATACAGAGTAATGTACTGCAAGAACAATACTGTATGAAACATACATTGATGTACTGCATAAAAAATAATACTGCATGAAAAAGAGTAACGTACTGCATGAACAATACTGTATGAAGCATACAGTGATGCACTGCATAAACAATACTGCATAAAATACAGAGTAATATACTGCAAGAACAATACTGTATGAAACAGTGATGCACTGCATAAAAAATAATACTGCATAAAATACAGTAATGTACTGCATGAACAACGATAATGTAGGCTACTGTATCAAGCATAGTGATGTACTGCATAAACAATAATACTGCATAAAATACAGAGTAATGTACTGCAAGAACAACAATACTGTACAAACATACAGTAATGTACTGCATTAACAATACTGTATAAACAGTATAAAAGTGTCTAAAATCAAACAAGATATTTTTATATTCAGTTACATACATTGGTACGGCATAAAGTACCATGTCAAGAAAAAATTAATGAAACATTCATTGTTTTAAAAAAACAATAACCAGAAATTCACAAGACAAATCATGAACAACAAAAAGGTGCACACCATGCACCTTCACAGAACCACTGATCAACTCCAAGGTAAATGAAAATCTCGAATGACCTCAAATGTGTAGCGTATTTTTTGGGGGTAATCAATATTAAGTGCAAAAATCAGCCCGACTAGTAGAGCTACAGCATGAGGGAGGTCTTTGACATCTCTCAGGACAATCTGTTCCTCCAGCACCACATAGTAGTCAAAGGCATCATCTCCATCAGGCATTATGAGAATTTTCCACATCCATTCCTGCCATCACACGGTCTTCAATGTCTGTTCCCTGTATAATGTAAAGAAGATTCTATGAAAATATAACCTTGATATCTTTAATACTGACCAAGGCCATATCAAAAGACTGAAATCACAGTGAAAGTAACAGATAAAATCAAACTTTGGCATTCGTTATCTCATAATTAGATTATGAAACTATCCTAGATTTCACAGACAGGGTCATGATTAGACATATACAGACCGTTATTTTAAGCAAAGGTATTAAAATGCAAGTCTACCTCTGCTGACTTGAAATCCGATGGATCCTCACTGAGGTAATGTGGAAGGCCCTGAAGAACAACAGCCCTTTTCATTGACATGGAATTCTTAAATAAAATAAAAAATGATTAGATTGATTTAGGCTAAGGCTGACAAAAATGTAACTGCTTTATAAC